GAAACCATGGCAGGCACTACACAATCATTCATTAGTATGTTTTAACCCATATCCTGTTTCCAGTGTTCTTCCCAAAGCCCACTACAGCAGTAGACCTCTGTCTACCACACACAAGTCTGAAAAATATCAATGACTGGTTTTCTTAAATTTTTTATTTAAATTCAATTTAGTCAACATATAGTATATTGTTAGTTCTGGGGTAGAATTTAATGATTCATCAGTTGCATATAACACCCAGTGCTCATTACATCAAGTGCCCTCCTTAATGTCCATCACCCATTTACCCATCCCCCTCCAGCAACCCTCAATTTGTTCCCTATAGTTAAGAGTCTTTTCTGGTTTGCCTCCCTCTCCATTTTTATCTTATTTTTCCTTCCCTTCCCCTATGTTCATCTGTTTTGTTTTTAAATTCCTTATGTGAGTGAAATCATATGGTATTTGTCTTTCTCTGACTGGCTTATTTCTCTTAGCATTATACCCTCTAGTTCTATCCACATCATTGCAAATGGCAAGATTTCATTCTTTTTGATAGCTGAGTAATTTTCCATTGTATGTATATACCACATCTTCTTTATCCATTCATCTGTCGATGGGTATCTAGGCTCTTTCCATAGTTTGGCTATTATGGACATTGCTGCTATAAACATTGGGGTGCATGCGCTCCTTTAGATCACTATGTTTGTATCCTTTGGATAAATACCTAATAGTGCAACTGCTGAGTCATTGGGTATTTCTATTTTTAACTTTTTGAGGAACCAGTGTTTTTGAGCAGCAGCTCTAATATCTTCACTTTTGGGATATGACCTCCACCATTCTGCCTGACTCTTATCTCTCTTGGATTAAGGTCAATATTTTTTCTCCAACTTGTTCCAAAGATAATATTGCAAAGACATCCTTTTATACATCTTGGCTTATATGTGTAGTTATTTCTTTAAAATAGAGTCTCAAAAAAGGAATTCTTGGATGAAAAGATATAAACTTTTTTACTCAACAAATATTTATTGAGTGCCTCATCTTTGCTCTTCGTACACATTAAATTTACAATTTAAGTGCTTTAAAATCATGACTAGTAGAAATTTAAACTCACAGACTTTACTTAACACCTATGGAATTAGTACTGTGGGTTTGGTGCTATTCTAAAAGTATAACATATATTACCTCATTTAATCCTATAGCATAGCTCCTACTGAGATGTCCATTTTACAGATTGGAAACTAAGGCACAGAGATTCTAATTAACATGTCCAATATTCCATATCCCATAAGTGGCAATTCCAGAGCTAGAACCCCAGGAATTCTGGTTCCAGAGTACATGTTACACTCTCTGTTCATCTCAGCATAGAACACCTATAATCACACTCTCCCTTTTACTTTGGACTCCCCTAAAATAAGTCTGGGTAGTCTAAGTTATTTCTTAGTTAGATTTTACTTCTATTCTGGAGAAAAGTCTAGGTTGATAATTTAATCATTTAACTTGTCATTGTTACACACTTTCAAATGCCGAGATCCTCAGTTGTCATTTTTTCACCCATTTGATTTTGAATTATAATTATGAAATTAATTCAGATCCTTGCAACAGTATACTATGTCCTCGAAATTTGCATCTTTAGCTAAGACATGTACAATCTGCTCCTTCAAACCAAATCAAACGACTCTTGACAGCCTGGGTTGTTACTAAGATGACAGGTTTACCAACTCTAGGGCTTAGATACTGTGTTGGCGTTCCCTGAGAAGTTGTAGAATAAGAAGAAGGAATGAAAGCATTTGTTTTTGTGACAGGAGCCCATTCTTTTGCTGTGACATTGAATTGGAGGAGAGCTGTGGATTTGGGAAAGTAGATCAAACAAATCTCTCAATATTTATGAGAACAACAGGGCCTGTTACCACTATGGAGCAACACAGCTCCGCTGCATAATAACAGGTACTGGTGGGTGCCTTTTCCCATGCCTGGAGCGATTTTAGAACAGCTAATGAAATTCATTAGTCATTTGAGAGAGAGCAAGAGTAAAAAGCACTATAAAAATCCGATCCAATTCAGGATAATTTTGGCACATGCCTTAGCCCAGTTGGTGTATTTCCAAAAGAAAGAGGCACATTAAATTCAGGAGGGAAAACCCAACTGTTCTAAAGCTATAAATCAATGCTACTCAGCTCTCATTTTCACTCAACATCTTTGCAAGGAGCCATAGTGAGAAATTAACTGATTCTACCATGCTCATATATGACCGAAACACTGAGCAGACAGCTCTCTTGCTCTAGAGAGAGCTACTGGTCACAAGACCAGGATCCTCACCATCACAGATGCATAAAGCATTCCTGCCAAACACCGCCAAATCCCAGGCCCTAAGTGCTACAGAATGTATCATTGTTATTTTTGCTTTTAAACCTCATATCCACAAAATTATGAAACACTGGATGTCTTGAATGCTGCACCTTGACTAACACATTCCCTGGAAAGATAGAACTTTACTAAGCTATCCCTCAGAAGTCAAAAAATTAATGCATTATTTGAGGCATCTCTGCTAGGTTTTGCTGCCCTGTGTCAAAATAACCTCAGTGCAACATTTAAACAGGAAAGGCTTAATAAATGTCATCCATTGACTGGCTGATATGTCCTAGCCTGAAATGAATTAATAAAAATATACCTTCCAACAGATGTTTACAGGCTATGCCTTTTATTAGGTGTATCAAGGAGAGTTGGGGATTTAATTTTTCTATGGTTTTATTAATACCCTGTGACTTGCAAGCTCTGATTTTCCTATTGTACTAATTGAGGCGGGGCTAATTCTAGGTGGAGTGTGGGCCCTGGTGAAACATCTTCTTCGAAGGTCTTGTCTCCAGCTTGATATTACCTCTCACATTTGCAACTAAGGGAGATAAAATTAAAAGGATGGTGAGAACAGGATGGGAAAAGGCCCCCTAAAACATCTTATGTCATTTGCTTTTAAACCCATAAATTGCAACACACACTAATCTCACAATCCTGTTCATGTCAATATGAGGACGGGGAGAAGAGAGAAAGTATTAGTAGTTACATCATGGGCTGTTGGTATATGAGTGCTGAAGGGCGTCACCATCCTTAAGCAAGAGAACCAGTCAGGGAAAGGGGCATAACCAACCAAATCTATGGTTCATTTGCTACATTTCATGCACAAACACAATATAAAAAGAAGGAGAAAAAAAAAAGAGGTTCCCAAATAAGCCACATGTTTCAGACTTGAAGGTCTGAGGAAGCAGTGTGTGACGTTCCAGGGTAAGAGATCCTAGAGACCGAGCACTGAGGTCCGTAGCTGAGCTCCAGTGAGTCACGGCTACTTAAAGACATTCAAAGCCAACTAAAAATAAACTAAAATAAAGCCAAATCTAACATCTGGAGCCTGTATTTGCCTCTTGAGCCATTAATTTGTGGTCCTTTAGATTAACCTTGGCCTGGGAAAATAGGGAATTGGAACTTAAAATAAGTCTACATAGAATAATCATGTCAAAGGCAGGGATTCTAGGACTTTTTTTTTAATTCCCTAAATCTTGCCATAGTGTCTCTGTGTCTTCTGCAAACTAGTGAACATTTCACACGGGTCTTTCACTAAAGAGGTTGTGCTGGACAACTAAACATCTTTTCTCCAAATATTACATGGAGGCCTCTGTTTTTATTTGCTAAATCTGGCAGTCTTACTTGACGGACCCCTCCAGAGAGAATATTCACCTTACATCGTCTTTAGTTCACTTAAGCATTTGTAAAATGGGTTTCTTCTGTTTCATTTTAATGCAGAAAGTACATGGAAATCCTTGTTAGCAGTCCACGGTGTCACATCTTATTTTTGGTTTTGTTTATATTTAGAAAAAACATCGACTACTACTTTGAGGAGTCAATTAGAAATTACTAAAATTTTTTGGTGTAAGTTTCTGGGGCCTCACCAGCAGAGATCTTCCAAAGAAGGCCATAAAAAGCAAAACTAAACCTCTGTGCTTTGCAGACTGGGGAGGGGTGAGGTCGACAGGAAACTGTTGATGTCATTGACGTGCTAGAGAAAAAAAAATTTTCCATTTATGAGATTCCCCTTAGCATCCAAAGTTCATGGTGACCACTCCAGCTTCTGAGAGCCCCCAAATAATCTCAAAGACCATCCTTTTTCATTTAAGTTGTACAAATACTTTATCAAAGGGCTAGGGAACTCAAGACTGTGCCCTTGGTTTTCTGTTTTGTAATGTTTTGTTCTTTATTTGGGGACCCATTTTTCTCACATGTTTGGCATAAACGCATCAACCCTGTAATGTGACAATCACACCTTTTTCCCCACTGACATTCATCATTTGGTACTATAGGCTGTTTCTTCGAGGGAAGTGCCTCTCCTCTTGGCTTCAGGATTTTAAAGCCATGTGGTTATCTGGCTAATTTTTCAGACTCTTCTCCATTTTCACCACACTGCGTCCATAATAGTTGCATTGTTCTGTTCTGTTAGAGAATTACCCAGCTTCTCTCTGTTGTGGTAAAGAGGCTGAGGGCCAAGCAATTAATCCTGACACAGGATCCATGTTTCAGTGACAACGAAGACAACCCATGATACTTTGCTTGCTAAAAGGGAGCCAACATTTTAAAATAGAGCCAAGTAAACCTCACAAGGAAGAATCTAATTCAGCAAAACTGATGATGATCATAATACTACAGCAAGCAAGCAGAGGACCTTTCTTCAAACTGACAGGGATAAGGTTTACGTGATTCAATGGATGTGTTTGGCTGAATAGCGTGAGCTTTGGGAGCCTCAGTGAGAACAGCTTGAATTACTGAGCAAGATGTGAAGTATTTCAAGATCTTCTCATATTATTTCAGATCTGGAAATAATAGTTATGTGGCTTTGCCCTAAATGCCCGGAGTCTCTGTGACTCCATTGGAAGGCCTGCATCATGTCAATGGTAATGCTAAGAGGTGAAATCCAACCAGGCGTTGAGAAGAAACAAAATTATGTGTGTCGGTGGTTAATATCATATTTTCTTTTTCCACAGCAGGAAAAGCCCAGGCTCCTCGAGCCTTTGGATTATGAAACTGTCATTGAAGAACTTGAAAAGACCTATCGGAATGATCCCCTTCGAGATCTTCTGTTCTTCCCCAGTGACGACTTTTCAGTAAGTGTTATCTTTCCAAGCCATCTAAGTTCGAGAAGGCCTCACTGGTGATAGAAGATCCTCCCAAATTGGGTCGCTGTCTTCCCTTATAGATTCAGGTTGTGCAGCACTCTTTCCTGTGGCCACCCTACGTCACAGTCACTGCAGTGGGAAGCCACATCCACCAATAGAGAATGGCCAAGGTCCTCTGACAGCTGAAAGTACCACAGTGGCCTTTTGGGACAGGAGATTCCCAGGGTGCTGCCTGGTTCCAGGTGGTACCAGTGTCCCCACCAATGGCTACATTTCTAACTGATGCCTTACCTAGCCTCACAGAGCATTTCCTCCCTCGCGCATTTCTAACTGAAAGCTTCTGAGCAACCGAAACCAACCAAAGGCAGAGGCAGGAATCTCTTGGCACAGAACGTGCAATTCTTAAAAATCACCCTTAATCTTGGCTGTCCTTTTGTAAGGAATTGTTGAGGCTTGTGGGCAAAGAAAGGTAGGCCAGCACATCTTCATGGAAGGATTTATGATCTGAAGACAGTGCTCCCTGGCACGTGAAATGCTCCTGAAGGTCGTAGAAAGAATGAATAAAAAAGCAATTCATTGTGGAATTGGAAACGGACACCGTAAAATTATGGCTGATGAGCACCCGCGTGTCTCCAGCATTTCATTTGTGGTCATCTCAACCATTTTCACATTATTAGGAAATATCTGCGTAAACGGAGATCTCAGTGGGCAGATGGTGACCTTTTCTGTTTTTTTCCTAAAAGAAAGGTAGTCTTAGACATCACAAATGAGTATCTTAAAGCCGATGAAAAGGCAGCTCCAGGGTAACCCTGGGAAGTAGCCACTGTCCATGGAGACCTCTGCTGAGTTGCTCTGGCCTCATGCTCACACTTCCACAAACAGCCTCACACTCCCATTCTCTTCTCTTCTCTTACCTTTGGCTTCAGGTTTCTAAAGGTGAATTATTTTCACCTTCCTCCATGGATTATTAAGAAAGAAAGTATATGGAAGTTCACCATTTTCTGTTCCAAGTATAGAGAATGAAGGAAGAAAGGAGATAGACTCGTAGGAAGGAAAAAAGAAACTCTTCCAATTTGTTTTTCAGATTTTTAAATGGCTCCTACTTTACTGGTTGACACACTTTAAGAGAGGTTTATCTCATACAGAAATGTCATTTCCGTGGTTGGACCACCAGGGCTTGAACTGCAAGCATAAGTTGAGCCACATTTTTTTTTTTTTATTTCCACATCCTCACTTTCTTTCAGACTGAAGGTAAACCTTTATGAATAGCCTCTTTCTGTCAAACAATGCAAAAAGCCTTGAAACTTAGAGACCTTTTCTTCTAGCACTATTGTCCAGAAATATGACAAAAGCTATTCCAAATTCCCCCAGCTCCAGAAGAGAGTAGAGGCATGCAGATGTGATGTGACAATTGCACTGAATTTGAATTCATTTTTTAGCATCTTTCCACAATCATTTAAGTTAAAGATTGTCTGATTACTCCAGGACCTTTGCCATCCTTAATGGAGTAAACAGCATATGACAGCGTACATACTTCCTTATTTTCCAGTAAATACACTGAATTCTTTCCTCCTGTGCTTTGCTTAAAACCCTTCTGTGGCCACCCCCATTGCCTTCAAAATGAAGGGCAAACACCTTAGCATTGCTCAAGAGTCTTTCCAAAATCTAGTCCTTGTCCATCTCAAGGTCATAGTCTTCCTCCCCCACCCAACCCCTAACACTGTCATCAGGGGCACCTTCATTCCCAATGGGTAAAACACTAGCACAATCCTCAATATAACATTATCTCACCCCTCAGACCATTTCCTTCCTTTATTCATTCACCAAATACATAACATGTACTACTAACTGTTAGGCATTAGTCTCAGACTGGGGAAGAAAACAGCAGTGATTAGACAGAAACTGCCTGGTTTTAATGGAGCTTACCTTTCAGTCAGATGAATCAGGCAAAAATAAGTAAACAAGTTAATTAACCAGATAATTGGGATAAAACCAGTTCTAGGAAGAAAATGAAACAGGGCCAGGCCATAGAAAAGAGGTGACATTTGAACTAAGTTCGGAATTCCCAAGGAAGACCAACCATGCTAAAACCTGAGGAAGGATGGAGTGTCTCGGGCTGAAGGAAGCTGCCACAAAGGCCCTGGACAGTTCTGGACAGAGGGAGTGGTCAGAGATGAGGTGTGGCAAGGGCAAGATGAGGCACTTGCGTCTTATTCCAAATGCAAGTAGCAAGTGGCAAGTCACCAAACTGTTGCGAGAAGGAGAAAAACTGACGTGGTGTATGTTATTGAAAGCTCATCTGGCCTCTGCATGGAGAACGCTAGGAGTCCAGCTGGGAGAGTAGCTCCCAATTAGCAGGTGCTCAAGAGATATTGGATGCCACCTAGTCCTTATTATCAGAAAGTGTCATATCATACAGACAGCTAAATTGCCATGTGTATCAAACATGTGATAAAAAAAAGTTTTCAATATTATTACCACATGAAGTTGTCAGGTTTTGAACAAAATTTGAATAGATTGTTTTCCCTCTTTTCTCCTCTACAGAGTAAGAGTTGACAAGTCATGGCCCATGGGTGGCCTGCTGCCTATTTTTATCTGTCCCATGAAACAAGAATGATTTTTATGTTTTTTTTTTTATACTACCTTGTTTTATTTTCTACACAGCACTGGGTAAATCATTGAAGGAAAAAAAAGAATATTTTGTAACCCATGAAAATTATATGAAATCAGGTTTTGGTATCTATAAATAAAGTTATATTTGAACACAGTGATGCCCATTCCTTTACCTGCTGTCTGTGGCTGCTCTCATGACACACCACAGGAATGCAGCAGAGATGGAGGGCCCTAAAATATTTACAGTCTGACCCTTTACAGAAAAACGTGGGGCAGCCCTGCCATCACGAATGACGCTGGGTTCATTGTGGGGGTTTTTCATCTCCCTCTGTGTGGAGTAAAGACCCTTCCTTAAACACCCTCTGCCACTGTCTGCTGCATCCACAGCCCATGTCTCCTGTCAGGGTTGTTACTCGCCAGCAGGAAGCCCCCTGTTCCCCTGGCTAGAGTATCATTTCCCAGGTTCATTTTTGAGCAATGGGTAGGGATTCTCTGGGATGTGTGTGGACAGTCTCTGCTCACCCAGTGGGAAGTGATAATAGAGTGACCACCCCATCCCCAGGGCATCACAGAATGGAAGGAGGGGAGCAGCTCCAAACCTCCCACCTTCTCTCCAAACTCCCCGAGCCCGGTTGTGCCCTACGGATGAGAGAATCCAACTCACTTCCTTGTTTCCGTGTTACCAAGCAACCCCACTTTGAGGCAGACATGATTCATTACTGAGTTTGTTTAATCAATATTTATTCAGCACCCACGAGGCGCTGAATATAGAACAGCACTTCCCAGACAAGTGAGGCCGACAAGAAAAACAAAAGCCCTATATTTAAGGAGTGTGTGCCCTAATACGGATGAAAAATAAAGTTGATTAAGAATCCTGGCTTCTTATGGTTAAGACATATCAAGAAACAGGGGCTTCAACTGCTATTTGATATACCTTAAGGGAGATTATTTTTTACCAAGCAGGATTCCTGCAGTGTTTCTCCCTATTCACCCTGCTGACCCAACCCACCACATCCTTTTTTGCTTAGATCCCCAAAAGTAGCCTTTAACCAGTCTTCCTGCTTCCTTCTTTGCCCTCATTTAAAGGAAGCTTTAGAAATACAAATCACAGAATGAATGCCACAGCTCTAGTTAAAACTTTTCAGTGGTTGCCCATTGTCTTCGGTGTCAAAACCAGCTTCTTGCCATTGTCCACATCACCTGGTTCTGCATGACCTCAGAGCCTTTATCTCCTTGCCCTGTTTCTCTTGGTCACTGCATGGATACCTAACATTCTCTCTGGTTCCCTGAATTTGCCAAACTCATCCCCTCTGTCAAGGTCAGTCTGCTCTCTTGCACAACCGGTCCCTGTTTTTCATTCATAATTCAGTTCAAATGCTCCCTCTCCAAAGAAGCATCCGTGCCTCCAACCATGCTGTGTCCCTCTGTGACCTCACCCTCTTTTCTTCTCTTTCTAGCCCCGTCACTACCTAGAAAGACCTCAGTTTGCTTTTTCTCTCCTGTCACTCGTTCCTCACCATGAGGGGGTACCCTCGAGCAGGGCGGGGATGTGTTCTGTTTTGATCATTGGGAGACCCCCCAGAAACTAGAGTGGCACTTGGCACAAAACGGGTGGAAAATGAACATTTATTTCATGAATTATCTTTCAGAAACATATTTGAGTATAAAGAGAATGAAGTAATTGGTTTTGCTTGATGAGGAGGAAAGTGATCATTAATATGATACTTTCCTCTTTGACACAACCCAACATATCACCTTAAGAAAACAGCACTAATAAAAAATTTAAAAAAAGAAAAGAAATAATTTAAAAATTTAAAAATTTTAAAAATTTTAAAAATTAAAAAAAAAGGAAACAGCACTAAGATCATGATCCCCTTCTCCAGAAGCTCATTTGGCTGGTCTGGTGCCTGCCACATAGCCACTCTCAACAAAGGCTGATTTCCTCTCCATAACCCTTAATGTACCTGCTTTCTGTTACTAGGCATGGGAGAAATCACTTTGCATCTGTATTTCAAGTACCCAACGCAATGTCAGGCTCGTGGGCTTTCAGTGAAGATTATGGAACATTGAGTTACAATCGTCTTCTTCCTGGTGAAGGAGCTGAGGTAGAAGCATTTTCCGTTGTCTTGGCACATCCAGTGCGTGGGTCCTGGGAGCAGGCATTACCATCTTCGGGACCACTTGCATCATAATGAATCGCTAGGAATAAGGAGTCTAGATGCAATTCTTAACTCATTCATTTCAAAAACATGTGCTACTTCACTCATTGTATTTGCGACTCTTGCTTTTCTCATCTTTCTTTTTGAAGCAGTTAGTAATAGAAACTTAGGACCAAAAAGTAAGGAACTTAGTCACCAAATTGTGGTTTCGTAAAATAGGCAAGGAGAGTAAGGAAGGAAAAGCAAGAACTAAAGAACAGTTTCAAGGACACACTGAATCATAGTGTTGAGTGATTCAGTTTGAGAAGAGACTGATTTAAAAAAAAAAAAAAACAGCAGAACAAAAAATGAGAAAGCCAGAAATGAGTTTCCTGCTGAATAACAGATACAGAAAGCCTGAGGTGGAATCACCTCTGGACTTACAAAACCTTAAATAAGAATGTTCAGAGGTCTGCCAGCTAGGACGCTGTGGAAGGCCACCCAATCACCTGCATTTCAAGCCTGCCCACGCCAGCCAAACTGCTCTACTTCAGCTCAGCTCTATGGCTTACCTTCTGTGAGTTAAGCTGCATATATCAACAGCACCAGTATGAACAAGAAGCAGTGCTTACACGTGAAAGGTTATGCTTTTGACACTGGGCGGTGCCATTTTCCAAAGTCAAAAGTCTATGTTGCACATGGGAAATGGCCTGCCTGAAGAGTTACACAGTCTTCTCAAATCCCCTCTTCATCTCAGTCGTTCGGAATTAGTGTCTCCCGGTTCCCCAGGGTATCCTGCAGTTTTCATTGGCTCATTATTATTACTGAGTGAATCGTGAATTCTTAACATACCACTGGCTTATTCTTTCCACAGTATGTTTTTAGCTATAAAAAGCAACTGGTGTATGGGGACTTCCAGACTCAACCGCGTAGGTCATTTTGGTGAGAGGAAGCAGAAAGACCTCAATATCTTTTAAATTGAAAAGCAGAAAGGTTCTGAGTCATTTGTGTTTTCTTCTTCTTCTTCTTCTTGCTTTACCTAACATTTTATAGAACTCTCAACCTCTTTTTGGTCCTTGGCTTCTGAGCCTGAAAAGTAGGCTTTAAGTGGCTCACAGTGTTCATGCAAGAACATTGTAATTGCAATTTAAAAGCTAAGTGACAGTCTTTGTCAAACTAGATTATTTCTAAGTTCTAATATTCCTCTCGTTTATAAGCTAATGAGGCTGAGATTTGCAAAGGCTCTTGTTCAAGGGTGTAGAGTATCTGTGAGGACAGAAATCAAACACGAGCACCTTGACTTGCTATTTGCGTTTCTGTCTACACAGCATGTTTATGGTCAGCTGCTTCTTAGAAAAGTAAGATGCACGATTAGGGGAAATACTAATTCCCTGAATCCCACAATCGGTACCATCAGAAAATTGATATGGTAGTGAAGAATTCTAGAGTGCTTATTTCAGTTGAGTAAGAATATGTGGGGACTTCTCTGGGCTTGATCGAACTAGGAACATAGACACAAAAAGTGTACTTAAAGGCCAGTACATAAATATTCATAGCAGCATTATTTGTAAGAGCCCAACAGTGCAAATGTCCATCAACTGATGAATGAATAAATATAATGTGGTCTGGGGCGCCTGGGTGGCTCAGTTGGTTAAGCGACTGCCTTCGGCTCAGGTCATGATCCCGGAGTCCTGGGATCGAGTCCCACATCAGGCTCCCGGCTCAGCGGGGAGCCTGCTTCTCCCTCTGACCCTATCCCCTCTCATGCTGTTTCTCCCTCTCTCTCTCTCTCTCTCTCAAAGAAATAAATAAAAAATAAAAAATAAAAAAAAATATAATGTGGTCTGTCCACGCAATGGAATATTATTCAGTCATAAAAAAAGAATGAATACTGATTCGTACTACAGCATGGACGAAACTTGAAACCACTATGCTAAGCTCAAGAAGCCAGTCACAGAAGACCACATATGGTATGATCCCAACTGAAATGTCCAGAATAGGCAGATCCATAGAGACAGGAAGTCAGCAGTTGCCAAGGCCTCAGAAGAAAGAACAGGAAGTAACTGCTAGTAAATAATGGAGTTTCTTTTGGGCATGATGAAAATATTCTAAAGTCAAAAAATGATGATGGTTGCACTACCCTGTGAACATATATAAAACCACTGAATTCTGAACTTTAAAAGGGTGAACTTTATGGCATGTCAATTGTGTCCTAATAGCACTGTTATTTTTTAAGAAGGGATTTTTCTAGGGCGCCTGGATGGCTCAGTTGGTTAAGCGACTGCCTTCAGCTCAGGTCATAATCCTGGAGTCCCAGGGTCGAGTCCCGCATCGGGCTCCTTGCTCAGCGAGGAGTCTGCTTCTCCCTCGGACCCTCCCCGCCTCATGCTCTCTCATTCTCTCTCTCTCAAATAAATAAATAAAATCTTTAAAAAAAAAAAAAAAAAGAAGGGATTTTTCTAGGCATTAGATAAGGGTAATATAAGTGGCCAGAGATAGGGTGCAAAAAATCATAATACGGGTCTATGTTCAAGTACTTCATTCTTTAAAAGGAATAAAGAAGTATACCAAAGAAACAATAAAGAACATTGGAAAACATTTCATTTATTGTTATCTTTTATTCCCAAAGAGGATCTAACGTGGCTTCCTATACACCAGCATATATATATATCGAACTAGGTATATATATATATATATACACACACACTGAATTAATCACTAGCAGAGCTTTTGGATCTAAAATACTCCAGAGTGAAGCTGCAGACTTCATGTATGATACAGACAGTAGATTTCACAGTTCAGAGAAGAGAAAATGTATGTTGGATGAATTAGAAAAGATTTTCAAAAGGAGCTGGTACCTGTACTAAGCCTGAGGTTAGGAAAGAACAGGGAAAGGCAAGGACTTTTCTGAGAGGAGGAGGAGCATGGACAAGGCTTTTGCAGGAATGAGTCCAGGGTGGAAGAAGGAACGTGAGCAGCCATATGGAAAGATGTGGGGCAGGTTGGATGTAAGCGGGTTGACTGGTGTCTTAGGCCATTGCTCGTCACGGGGCCATGTCCGCAGGCCTCACACCGAGCAGGCTTCTTCTCTGTGCCTCCCTGGAAAGTGAGCTCAGACCACAGCCTCCGAGTACTTGCCAAGGGAAGGTGCAATAAGTATATTGTTGGAGCACTGTGCTCTATGAATGTTCACATTTTCCCATATGTAAAATGTATCCTCTTTAGAGGAGGCGAGACACATTTTGGAGCCTGGAAAATGAATCACAAAAAAAAAAGAAAAGAAATTACTTGCTCAGTGTTTCACCAATCCAAGAGTAAAAAAACCTTAAACCGGGTCCCCAAACTTCTCTACTTATATTCTTATTTTATTTTACTTTATTTTACTTATTTATTTGAGAGAGAGAGAGACCAGGGTGGAAGGGCAGAGGGAAGAGAATCTTAGGCAGACTTCACACTGAGCGTGGAGCCCAACATGGGGCTCCACGCAGGGCTGATGTCACAACCCTGGGATCATGACCTGAGCCAAAATCAAGAGTCAGACAATTAACCAACTGTGCCACCCAGGTGCCCCCTTACTTATCTTCTTAAATACTGTGATAGATAAGTCCCAGTGCTTGACTTGGCTGGATGATGACAACTGTCCAATTATGGGCAACTGCTCAATTTTTGTGCACATCCTGTACACTTTAAGTTCAGCAAAACAAGAAGGACCTCCCGCTTAAAGCACAGTGAATAAGTTAACAGGGATAAAAGGTACAGCACAGGGAATATAATCAGTGGTGTTGTAATAGTGAGGTATGGTGACAAGTGGTAGCTATGGTGAGCATAGCATAACGTATAGAGTCGTCAAATCACTATGTTGTACACCTGAAACTAATGGAACATTATGCATCAACTGACCTCAAATTTAAAAAAAAAAAATGGATGAATGAATAAAGAGGAAATTATTGAGAGGGTAAGCACAACGAAGGTATTAAAGTGATATTCTCGTGTACTTAAAAAAATAAAACAAAATCACAATACTCTTCCGAATGTGATAAAAAGTGTTTTTCAAACAATTAATGCAGTGTAAGTGTCTACTCTACTAGAATATAAGGCCCTATCAGTGTCTTAATCTGAAAAATTCGGTGAAGACCACTTTTAAACATATGCTTAGGTTGGAATTGATCCGTGAAATGTTTGTGTTTTTTTTTTTGTTTTTATTTATTTATTTATTTATTTATTTAGGGGCGCCTGGGTGGCTCAG